CGGTTTCTCACTGCCTCACTTGTAGTAATGCTGTTTGATCAGTGGGTTTAAGAGGTGATAGCCTGATCTTTCCATTATTGAGTTCTACATCAACATTTTACCTAATAGTTTAACTTATTAGCATTGCATGCATGAATTTTTCACTAGGGGGTTGCAAAGTGGTCATTTTATACTTGTGTCATTCTTTGCATCTCTATCAGCTGGAATTCTTCACTAAAAAATGATTACTCTCTGCTAACCATAATGGTTAATTTGAAGTATAGAAAGAGCAAGGTAAATGCTCTCCTCCTTTTTTTTTCTCCCCTAGTTGTGCTCAATTAATTAGGTGCTTTTTTGTTTTGTTTCTGTTCCCAAAAGAGCTCTTCCTTTTTCTCCTTGAGTAGCAAAATTAGTCCTTGAGTTTTTATATCTTAAATATATTTTGGCCAATTGCATGTGTTATCTGTTATATTCAGTTTCTCTAATCTTTGACCCAGGGGAGCTCTTTATCTGGACTCCCATGTGTTCTGACATGACCCATTAGTTATTGGTAGTGCATTGCTTTTCCTTTCCATTTTCAAAAGAAAAGAAAAATTGAGGGCTGGGGATATGGCTCAGCTCGCCTGGCATGTGTGAGGCACTGGGTTCGATCCTCAGCACCACATAAAAATAAAATAAAAACATTGTATCCACCTAAAACTAAAAAATAAATACTAAAAAAAAGAAAAATTGAGAGGCCATGGAAGCATTAGCAGGCACCTGTTTCCCAAGCTATTCTTCTTTTCACTTTTCCAGTGCACCTTCCTGAAGCCACCAGAAACGCTACCTCTTTACTTCCATCCCTTTTCCTCAGTATTTCCTTCTGTGGAAAAAGGGAAAAGACAAGAACAGAAAGGCCCCCCATCACAATATCATGGTGGTTTATAGTTGGTCGCATCTTCATTTCGAGCAATTAATCAGTGGTACAGAAAGAACCTATCTTGTTTATTTTTCCTTAGACATTTCCTTAATATTACAAGAGTATCTGTTAGTATCTCAGAGGTCTGTTATGCCAAAACAAAACATTTAATAATGTTTGTCCTTTTATAATTTTACAATCAAGAATGAAAATTTGGGAAACAATGTAATATAGTCTCATAAACTTGATATTAGTCAGATACATAAAATAAGCATATAATGGAAATCACAAGTCTGCTTTCTAGGTGCAATTTGATATAATGACTAATTCTGAAAAACATTTTTCCATCTTCTGTTTGAAGTCTTTTATTCACACTAGCCTTCAGTCAGGTCTGAGGCATCATGGCTTCTTTGAGATTCAGAGGAAAGAAGGGTTGGTAGACTAAGTGGCTAATGCCAATAATTTCAGTGACTTTAAATATTATGGCATATAATATTTAGAATATATTAATCTAAAAAGGCTTCCTTTGAACTCCATCGTTCTTGGATAGCCGTGAGTTGTCAAGGGAAGAATTCTATACTCAGTACAAGAGAAGTCTGGGGTCAGTTCCGTAATCTTTTTACATTATTATTATCATTATCATTTTTAAAATACCCAGTTGTAAACATGAAATCTAAAACAAATATAGATTTTTTTCATAGTATACTTATTAATAAATGAAATTTATGGAATGAATTTAGAAATAATTTACTTTAATACAATCACCTTTGTTTTGGAAGGGAAAAAGTAAAGAGAATAAACTACCCAGTTGTATTTTTATTTGAAATAAAGACATCTACTTTATTTTACTATACCAAGTCTGAGCAGGGAATTGATACTTCCCCTGGTCTTCATCTGAATATATCTAATGCTCCTGTAAGGATTATGTATATCTTCTGTGAAACTCCATTATCCATTTTTATGTCAATTTAATATTCAAAGCAATATTTATTTGTACTATATACATGCATATGTGTATCTGTCATGTTACTCCTTAAACTATGAGGGAAAGGGATTGAGATTATATACTTCTTCACTTATAGTTGGGAACTTCTTTATTAAAGTAAAAAGATCTCTCAGAGAGTGTAGGTTATCAAGATATTCAGTAATGCAAGGAAGATAACTTGTTGGGTTGATAATAGATTAAGAAGAAGCAAGATTTCCAGGCATTTGTGCTCTGGAGAAAGGCTAAAGGTCCACCTTTGAAGTTATTCCATTGTTCGTGGATAAGAAATCCCTTGGTTAATGTGATAGTTTCTGGTAGTTCCCCTTCTCCCCAGCCCGCTTTTAGCAAAGAAGAAAGGTAAAGTGGCTGTTGGATTTTGACTTAGATAAACTGGTGGCACAGCATATTTCTTTTTCAGAAACCACCCTGTTTTGATCATATGTGGTGCTGTTGAAAAACACATTGCTTTTGAACTTCAGAAATTTTAAAAGTTTATACTTTTACAAGTGGGGAATCTTAAGAGCTTAGCCATAAAGTTGGTGTTTCATGGAAAATTTCGTAGGACACACTTTGTAGATTTTCTTCTGTTTACATTTATTTATTTATTTGTTTGTTTTTGATACCAGAGATTGAACCCAGGGGCGCTTAGCCACTGAGCCACATCCCCCAGCCCTTTTGTTTTTATTTTGAGATGGGATCTCACTAAGTTGGTTAGGGCCTTGCTAGCTTGCTGAGACTGGCTTTGAACTTTCGATCCTCCTGAGTCAGCCTCCTGAGCCTCTGAAATTACAGGTGTGTGCCACTGCACCCAACCCATTTGCCATTTTTAATTTGATTTAGTATATATACTCAACTTGTTTTGGTACTGAGATTGAACCCAGGGATGCTTTACCATGAGCCACACCTCCAACCCCTTTTATTTTTTGAGACAGGATCTCATTGAGTTGCTTAGGGTCTTGCAAAGTTGATAAGGCTGGTCTTGAACTTGGAATCCTCCTGCCTCAGCCTCCTGAGTTGCCGGGATTACAGGCATGCACCACCACACCTAGCCCTAGGCTTTTTATAACCTGTTATGAGAAAGCCTGGCTTTTTCCAAATTGTAGGAATCTCTCATAAAACTTTCACAAATCCAGCCACTCTGATGGAAATCACTGTATACTACTCACTGCTAACAAAGGAAGAAGCCTTCTTTGCTATGTTAAGGCAATTCAGAGGTACAAGAATCTCCTATGGGATTTTTATGTATAGGTCTGGGAAACCTAAGAGTGGGGTTATGCATCACCCCTTCTCTGCTCTAAGCTGGCACACTGGATCATGGCTTCTTTGCCTGGTGAGTAGGCTTCTTCTGGACCAAGTCCTCCAGGGACTCCCTCTAAGGAGGCACTCTAAGTTGGCATTCCAGATGAGGTTTAACATCAGTTCTCCTCCTTGATGGGAGAAGAAGAGCTAAGATATTCTGAGAATTACGTGTCTTGAAATGGGATCTGCCAAGTTTAGCCTATATCGTAGGAGCGCAGGCTTGGCCATCATGTGGCTCCTGGCCTTACTAACTGAGTGATAGTGGGCAGGGAATTTAGCTTCTCCAAGCTTCAGCTTTCTTGTTTTTTTTATTGTTGTTGTTTTTAAGTTGTGAAGTGGAAACAAGTTGTACCTACTTGAGAATTTTGAGGATTAAATAAAATGATTTTTACAAAGGGCTTAGTATACTGTCTAGCCCAATAGTTCTCAAACTTTGAGTCTCAGAGCCCCTTTATACTCATAAAAATTGAGGACCCCATCAAGTTTTTGTTTTTATAGTTTATATGTATTATAAATTAAAACTAAAATTTTTTATAAATATTTATTAATGTTTAAAATTATAATAAACAACCCACTATATATTAAAATAAACGTTTTATGAAAAATAAGGATTTTTTTTCCTCCAGAGAAAATTTAGTGAGAAGAGTAACCTATTTGCTCTGCATTAAATTTGTTGCAGTATCACACATCATGTAGATTCTGGAAAATTCCACTGTGCATATATGAAAGTCTGAGAGTGAAAAAGACAAATAATATTCTAGTGATAGTTTGAAATAGTTTTTACTTCATGGACCTCTTACAGTATCTTGGGGCCCTCAAACCATTTGGGAATCATTGGTCTAGCCAATTATAGTAGTTATTATTATACATGAAAACTTTTATAGCTAGTGAGTCCTACACAAATGTTAGTGATGAGAAATGTAAGTCATGGCTTCAAAACTTATTATATACATTCATGAAGGGTCCCCAAAATGATTGTACTTCAGAAGAAACTGTGTTTTTCAAACAAATTCTAGCATTACTTAATGGAGTTCTTTGAGTTTAAAGGCTCAATTTTTACTTTCAGAAATTTCCTAATTAAATATATTATCATAAAGCTTTCTCCTTTTTTTTTCCTAGAAGAAAGTCTTTTATTTTTTTCTTCTTCTTCAGAGTAACAGGTCTTAGTAGAGAGTTGTAATTAGATATTTACTCTGAAATAACTGACAGGATTGGTATGGGGTTATAGCAGTCCACCAATTGTAAAGAGGAAGTGTGGTCCCATTGTTAACCAGGTTGGGTTTTGTGATTGACAGATCAATTTTGATTTACTGGTTGCAGAGCTTTGACTTAAAACATTTATTACTGTTTAATTCTTAGATGCAAGATCACTTAAAGGTTTTTGTTTTGTTTTGTTTGCCAGGCATGGTGGCACACGCCTATAATCCCAGAGGCTTGGAAGGCTGAGGCAGGAGAATCATAGGTTCAAAGCCAGCCTCAGCAAAAGTGAGGTGCTAAGCAACTCAGTGAGTCTCTGTCTCTAAATAAAATGCAAAACAGGGCTGGGGATGTGACTTGGTTGTCGTCTCGAGTGTCCCTGAGTTCAATCCTTGGTACCAATAAATAAACAAATAAATAGGCTTTTTGAAATGTGTTTAGACTGTAAAGATCCAAAGTACAGGTGACATAACAAATAACTTATACAAGTTGTTTTAACAAAAATGTATTTTATATGGTTCACGTCTTTATAAGAGCTATGAATATAGTTTATAACAATACTTGTACTTTGTAGACATATAACCTCTAATTATATCAATTTTCTCCTTTCTCCCACTTTTTCTTTGGGCTGGCTGTGTGTAGATCATGGGGAATTCATATGCTGGGCAACTGAAATCTGCTCGATTTGAGGAAGCTCTCCACAACTCCATAGAAGCCTCGCTCCGATGTAGTAACGTGGTACCACGTCCCATTTTTTCCCAGCTGTACTTGGACCCTGAGCAGCATCCTTTCTCATCTGCAGGTAAGTTCCTTAATCATAGACATTTCTAGGCTCCTTTAAAAAGAAGTGGGGATTCCAAATCATGGGAGCTCTGAAATCAATTGGCTAAATATTAGAAAATGCTAGTCTCCCTCTCCTCAGACATTATCTTTCAGAACTATGAATTTTTCTTCTGATTATTTTTCCATAAGCATCTTTTTATTAAAAAGTCACTGATTGCTTTGTTTCTCAGATGTCAAGCCCAAGGTAGAGGATTTGGATAAAGATTTGGTACACCGCTACACACAAAATGGCACTCTAGATTTTTCTAACAATTTAACCGTTAATGAAATGGAAGATGACGAAGATGATGAAGAAATGTCTGATTCCAACAGCCCACCAATTCCCTATTCACAAAAACCGGCCCCAGAAGGATCTTGCACAACAGACGGTGGGTTTCAGTTTTGTTTTCTTGCTGTTTTCCCCTTTAATATTGGCTGGTCTGTTTCCAGTCATTCCATGCGGTGCTCAAGGCTGGAAACCAGTAATTAGGGAAAGAAATGAGGAGTGGTTATGTTCTCACTCCCATTGCCGACTATGACTTCACAGCAGGTATCTACCCCATTTTATAGATTAAGAGACTGAGATTCATACTTGAATAACTTCTCTGAGAGGACCTGTGCAAAGGCAAGTCTAGACAGGTCAGGGTTTTTCCAGTACTCCATATACTTCCTGCAAGCATGCTGCTGTCAAGCTGGGTGTAGTAACCCAGGCCTTTAATCCCAGTGACTCAGTAGGTGGAGGTAGGAGGATCACAAGTTCAAGACCAGCCTTAGCAAATTAATGAGGCCCTGAGCAACTCAGCAAGACCCTGTCTCAAAATTTTAAAATAAATAAATAAATAAAAGAGCTGGAGATATACCTCAGTGGTAAAGTATTCCTGGATTAAATCCCCAGTACCAACAATAACAACAACAACAAAAAGAAAGAAAGAAATTTTCTGTCTTAGGAAACATTTTAGTATTTCCTTTTTCTCCTTGTTTCCACCCCCACCCCTAAATAAAAATAGAGATATTAGATGCTTTATATTTATCTTTTATGCTTATTTTTAAAAGACTTTTAGTTGTAGACGGCAGTACCTTTATTTTATTTATTTATATTTATGTGGTGCTGAGGATCAAACCCAGTGCCTCACACATGCTAGGCAAGTGCTCTACCACTGAGCTACAACCGCAGGCTCCTTTTATGCTTATTTATAACACTTATCTAGTGTAGAGGCAAAAAATTATAATTTTTTTTATAAATTACAAAATTAAAAATTTATGTATGATAAAAATATAAATAGTAGGATAAACTTGCTTTATTTACTTGTGTCAGCCTTCTCTTCCATCAAAGGTTAGGCTGCATTTTTAATAAGAAAGCCCTGGTTTCTAACATTTCTGGTATTTTGTGGTTTTGGTGCTATCACGACTTAAATTCCACTTTCCTCCCTCCATTCAGTTGTGACTTTCTGACCATCAGCCTAATTAATGTGTAGGTTTCACTTTATCCAGATCAGCTAGAGTGCAATTTTTATAATTAAATTGACATAGAGCTGAGATGATGTCAATATATGAGTATCTTGGAGAGAAGACATCGGGATGGGAAGAAGAGGGATAAAATCTCAGGACAGTCTCCTTCCAAAGTTTGAAGTGCAAATAATTTGGGATAAGCTAAAGATACAAATATACAAAGCCAGATAAGTAGTTTGCATTGTTTGGGAGTTTTAGTTTCTCTTAACTTCTGCCAACCCTCCTGATAATCTGATAACCAGTAAAGGAGTTAAAATCCCCTACCAAGAGGGTGAAGACCTGCATAAAGCTCCTGCTAGCTTATCTAAGCCTGATTCACTACAAGTGTTCTCTAGCAATTGGTACCATTGTTTTTTTTTTTTTTTTTTGACTTGGGCCTGCCTCGAAGACATCATTCTTTATGAATTTGCTTCCACTTACTATTGATTCCTTTTGCTCAGTATCTGTCTCTCTCTCCCTCCCCCCCCCTCTCCTGGTGTGGGAGATGACCAGCATTGTTTTTACTTATTGGCTTTATATCCATTTTTATGCTGTTTGTCTAACTGAATGATCAATTCATAATTATCAAATAACAAACTAGAAGTTGAAATAGCACTTGTACTTGTTGAATTCTCATTATGAATCTTGTTATATTGGAGAATTGAGTAGAACCAGAGTAAAAGGTTTATATACCAAGAAATAGGGGAGAAGTTTCCTGTCTCAGGTTATTCTAAGTATGTTTTTAGTTTGCCTGTTGAGATGTCTGACACTGGTATTATTTATGATCAGGTATGGAAAGCTGTTTAGTACCCAGCAAGATATAAACCTAGTGGTCTAAGGTAGCAAGTATTTGTTAAAGTTTAAAACATGAGAACATAAGAAGTATATAGGAAGTGCAGTCATTATTTTAAAGATAAAGGAAATGCAGTTTTCTGAGAACAAAAAAAAAACTATCCCCACCCAAGCAGGAGACTGAAATTCCAAGACAATCTGAAAGCAGAGTTCTGTATCTGCTACTTTAGTTTCTTATAATTAGCATCCATTATCCATTTTCCCCTCTTAATTCACCTGGGGTGGCAATTCAAACAAACAGTAGTTTATAATTTGATTGTTATGGCTTATGTAACTTTTTCCAGTCTGGCTTATTCTAAAATAATTCTAAGAATTTTCATACTCAATGGGAAAAACATCTCTTGAGAATTTCCTTATAAAAATGGCAGCAAAATAGGACAATATAACAAATGCTTGGACTTGTTGAAACTCATCATCTTCCCTACGTGGGAAAATCCTCTATTTACCTAAGGCTTAAAGGAAGGTAAAGCTATTTTTAGAGGCAATTTAGATAAGCAGATATTAACACCTGACTGATTGCTGGGGGTTACCATTCAGATGTAAATTTTGGTTGCTAATTTCTTATGTAAATTATTGGAATAGTGTAGGTTCCTATCCTGCTGGGAGGCAGTTGATTGTCTAAAGGGGTGAAGGGCAACCAAATTTTAGGCCTCCGAATACTGCTTTGATTACTTTGGTTTGTGTTTACAGCTGTTTCAGTAAATTTCTCCTCCCCCTTTTGTTGACTCTGTAACCTTCAAGTTGGAGATAATTGAAGAATGCAAATTGTTTCTGTGAAGTGAAAACCTTGGCTAGTTTCTTAAGAAAATGCAGGTGAAGTTTATAAAAAAAGGACCCTCTACTATTAGTTCCCCCTCCCATTTTTAAATTAAAATTTTCTCCTCTACAAGAGCTTTGCTTTTAGGACAGCATTTTAGAATTACTCTCAGAAAATGAAATTATTTTGGAGGCAAGTTTGTGAATGTATCCCATGTAGATAACTTATCTTTCTTTCCTTGTTTACAATAAACAGACTTTGAGCCTTCCTTAGGGAACTCTGAGCTCAATCTACTAGTAGTCTCTAAAGAATGATCAAATTAGCCATTGAGAATAACTTCAAATGTAATTCAGAATTAACCTTGCAGAGGAGTACAAAGGTTTCTTTTCATTCAGTTTGAGGTTTTAATTGAGATTTAATATCTGATATTTATTAGATTAACAATCTGACATATTTCTAATAGTGGGAATGTTTAACTACTTGCCACACTGGGTATTAGGATCCTACAGGTCTCAGAAATCTAATCACATTTCATAGTTTCTGTAGCTATCCACTCTACAGACATAGCTTATTTTCGGTTAAGAAAAAAAAAGATAATGCTCTCAGCATAATGTTTTTTTCTTTTCTAGGGATTCCTGGTGACAATGTATAAAATTATATCTGATTTAAAACTCAAAAATGAGGGTTTGGAGGAAACAATCAGTAAATAGATGTTTACAGCAAAACACCAACCCCTTGGCAGGTGAACTTATTCTCAAAAAAACTACAAACTGAACTGAGGAAACTTTCCGTGGTTTTGTAACCATTTTTGGCCTCAAATTGAATTTTTTCTTGACCCCATTTTAAACTTAACTGTTGTCTTCCCGTTTTCTCCTATTTTATTCTTAATTACATTGCCTGTATGAATAGAGCGTAAAAAGATAAACTAGGACTATTTATTTTATAAAATAGATTTTATGTTGCTCAGAGGATTCCAGTTTCAGACATTGGGAGCTCTTTCTGTTAGTTCTTATGTCTTTTTACCAACCTCCATCATTGTGGAGTGGTTATTTTCTTTATAGCACAAATTGGAAATTTTATCTTCTCATTGTAACAGGCACCTCTTGCATAAAATATCTCATTGTCATAGGCACCTCTTGCATAATATATATATATATATATATATATATTTATTTATTTGCATTATATGCATAATATATATATATATATATTAGGGTTGAAGACACATGAAATGTGCTTTTAATGCATAAAAATCACAGTGGATAGCAGCAAAGGATGGGGGGCATCAAGGAGAATCTGATAATTCACATTGCGATTATTCTTGCAATATATTTTTAAGAGAAGGCTAGATAGAACACATAGAATTCAGTCATTGCTTAGTAATTATTACTTTTGACCTCTAGGTGTCCTCATACCATAAATAAGAAACCCCTCAAAGGCTGTAATACTCAAAAACTATTTGGGCTTCTTCATTTGAATGGACTATGTAGTCCATTAAAAAAAAAAAAAACATTTTTAGTTGTAGTTGGACACAATACCTTTATTTTATTTATTTATTTTCATGTGGTGCTGAGGATCAAACCCAGTGCCTCACACATGCTAGGCAAGTGCTCTGCCACCAAGCCACAACCCCAGCCCTGTGTAGTAGTCCATTTTGCCAGAGAAAATCACTCTGAAATATTTCTTCCCTTGAAAATCCAGTTTGCTTTAGGTATTCTCCACATTGTTCTGGATTCTATCCCCATTTATCCAAGAACCAAAATTATACTTTCCCTCCTTAATCTCAATTTTGCTACAATGTATTGCTTAGAAATCTCATCAGAAATGTCACTCTCTAAGCATGGATTGATTGCCTTTGTGGCTTGCAACAACTTGCATTTTTTAAAGTGGTATCTCACCATACTGCCCAGGCTAACTTCAAATTCCTGGGCTCAAGTGATCCCCCTGTCTCAACCACCAAAGTAACTGGGACGGTAGCCAAAAACTACACTGTCTTTAGCCACTGGGCCTGGCTAAAAACTTGAACTTTAAGAACCCATCAGCAAGTATAAGATAGGTGGATAATGATAGTCCTGTGGTTGTCAGGGGCTGGTGTATCAAATGCTCCACAGAAAATTCAGCCTAAAATGGGCACAGAGAAGTCAGGTAATAAAACCCAGCTGGAATAGTCAAGGAAGTGATTATATAAGAGTGTTCTACATCCGAGTGGGCGCAGATGAAACATTATGAATCAGAGACCTACTAATGAGGTTGAAGTGCATCTAATCTGGAGTGAAGAGTCTGTAGTTCTGGGTCCCACAGTTTCTGGTTTGTGGACATTTGACCATCGACCATTTTCTAACCTTTTTGAGCCATTTCCTCATTTACATATTAATAATATTAGAATAGATCAGTGTTCCACAAATCTCTTAGTAGGGTAGAAACTTTTGAACGCCTTGGGAGTTCAAAAGTTTTATGTCATTGCATTGCATGTGATGAAGACTTGATTTTAAGTAGAAAACATTTATTTTAGATCAGCATATTAATATACTTTTATATTCATACAGTACAGGAAAAATTGTCTAATTTTGTGATTCAATAATTGCTGTTTAGCTGGACATGGTGACACACACCTGTAATCCCAGTGGCTCAGGAGGCTGAGGTAGAAGGATCAGGAGTTCAAAGGCAGCCTCAGCAACTTAGCAAGGCCCCAAGCAACTCAGTAAGACCCTATCTCTAAATAAAATGTAAAAAGGACTGGGAATGTGACCCAGTGGTTAAACATCTCTGGGTTCAATCCCTGGTACCAAAAATAAATAAATAAATAAATGTTATTTAATTTAAATTGAATGTGTAAGAAAAAGCGCATTGTGTTAGAAAATTAAAAAATGAAATATACTGCATTTGAGGGGGGTCAGATATATTGACATGTTTTCCAGCATTTTAAAAAAAGTAAAATTCTACTTTTAATACTAAAGTTCTACATTTTAGGGTGCAAAGGATATTCAAATTTATTTTTACAATTTTTGTATTTTTTCTGTATGAAATGAGGAAGTTTTAAACTGCTGTTTGCAGGAAATTTTCTATTGAATGAAATAGTGTTTTCTTTCATTATAAAAAGCCAAACTGGACCATAATCACTAAATTTCTTACTTATATATTACAGTAGGTTTTTTTGTGTCCTAGAAATGTATTGGTGCATTTTATATAGCCTTATAATTTGATGAAGGGCAGGGAATTAATGTAACTTCTGTGTCTAGCAATGAGCATATTCAGGTATATTTGTAAAATCGCTCTTTTTTGTTCATTAACATAGTGTTAGGTGAACTTCTTGTCCTTAACCAACAGCTCATTATGAATATAAATTAAGCAACATGTCAATACATATGATAGATGGGTTGAAGTGTGACTCAGTGACAGAGCACTGGCCTGTCCTGCCTGAGGCCATAGATTCAATCCCCCAGCACTGCTAAATAAATAAATAAATACCCATAGGATCAATCAATTACAACTGGAAATAAAAGCAATTTGAAATTGTATAGTAGCCAAAACCACATGATGATGTGGGGTTTGTCTGAATGAGTTATGAGCTCATTGAGCTGGTTTCCAGTAACCCTACATGTGTTGGATAAGAGGTTTTCAGAACATTCTGTTTTAAAATAGGACATTAGAGGGTCAGGAGTTATAGCTCAGAAGTAAAGTGGTTGCCTCGCACATGTGAGGCACTGGGTTCGATCCTCAGCACCACATAAAAATAAATAAAGTAAATATATTTTAAAAAATAAAATTAAAATAGGACATTAAAATAATCGACTAGTTTTTAGAAATTGATTATGATGTGTATTTAAATTTCACTTACAATTCTCAAGTATCTTGTAACACCCTTCTGAATCTCCGGAAGTGGCGATAACCGCTTATTGAGAAATGTTGTGCCACATGATCTTGTGATTCCATGTAATTCCATGTAATTTTTTTGTTCTAAAAAATTTTGTAGTAATTTTCAAATTGGTGTAGATTTGTATTTTCCATCTAGTCTTTTCTTTCTAAATTGGGTGGGTCAAAGTTGTACAAAGATGGCTTTAATACTTTTTATTGGCAGGTAGCTTCTCAAGCATCCTATTTCCCATTATTCGTATGCTTCCCATGTCCTACGTCATTGAACATTACTGGACTCATTACGTACCTTTGTACAAATTCCCTGACCTTTTTGGAGACTCAGTTTCTCCACCTGTAAGGAAAGGTACTAGAGCTGTTGAGAAAATTAAATAAGGTAAATCTATATGATGTTTACAATGTACCTGGCTTATGGTAAGTACTCCAAAAATTTTAGCTGCCATCAACATCACCCTCCCCATCCTCATCAGTTCCTAAGTTCCCTAAACTTATGAGTGCTGTTCCTTAATGAAGATACAAGAAACAAAATTTTGGGGGCTTTCATATATCCAAAGGCTCTCAGAAATGTTTCTGAACTGAATAAAGTATTAGGGCTCACCCATCTATAAATGACTATTTTTCTAATAAATGTAGATGATATTATCAATAATAAAATGCAGAGTTCATTTAAAATTGGTAAAGAACTCATAGTAACTTTTTTAAAAAAAATTTTAGTTGTAGGTGGACACAATACCTTTATTTTGTTTATTTTTATGCGGTGCTGAGGATCAAACTTAATGCCTTGCACATGGTAGGCACTCTACCACTGAGCTACAGCCCCAGCCCATAGTAACATTTTTTTAGATACCTTTATTTTATTTTATTTATTAATTTTTATGTGATGCTGAGGATTGAACCCAGTGAGATTAGATCAGTGTTCCCCAATCCCATAGTATGTCACGTTAGACCAGCACTCTACCACTGACCTACAACTCCAGCCCCTCATAGTAACCTTTGTATAATACATTTTTTATCATGAACTCTAAAATAAATTGTTTTTTTAAATGATAAAACTTGAAATGGTTAAGCCCCATTGTATTTATCATTATAGAATTTCTTCTGTCAGCTTTTTTCAACTTCATTTTACCTGCTTTTGAGGTCCAATGATCCAAACCATATGACAGATTTATATATACCACAGGTGTGTACAATGTTTTGATGGAGTTTTCTTTTTTTCTCTCTCATATGCTAATGATGGCATCTAAGTATTTGTTGATGTTTAGTTAAAATTGATTCTGGAAGATTCTACGTAGTTCTTCCCTACTTGGTACTGAGCAATGATGATGGTATTCCCCCCAGGTTGTGTGTAGAGAGTTAGGTACGCATCCTTCATTTTTTCACAGCTCCCTGAAATAGCATTTATCATACGTGTATTCAGTCTCTTGTTGAGAGAGACCCAACTGAAACTAGCTTGGGGTGAAAAAACAAAAAAGATACTAGCTTAGGTAAAATGAAATTATTGGAAGAATTTCAAAGCAAAAAGGTTTCATGACCAAACCATGGAAAGGCAGATACAACTGAGTTTCAGGGATCCAAAAATTGCTAGACTTTCCTCTCCCAGCCTCCTGTCTATGCTGATGGACTTCTCACTAGCAGAGCAGACTGAACTATGTTCTCCCTGACTCCATGTTCAGAATCCTCAGGGAAAATCTTTGATCTGGTTTATATCAGGTGACCACATATGGACCAATCAAGTGTAGCTAGAAAGGTAAACTATTAAAGTGGCCCAGCTTGAATCAGGTGCCAGTTCCAGGTCAATCTGGAATATCACAACTTTCCAGGGGATCACATGACTAGAGTATAGGGAGGATCATTTCCCAGAAGATGTGTCTCAGAACAATAGCTGTCTTCTATAAGGTTGTGTTCAGGATTATTGATTCCTTTGCATTCTTCTGACTACAGGGCAAGTGCTTAACAAATATATTTTGTCCAATTCTGTATCCCCAGGCCTAGGAAGAATCTGTTGTAAATATTTAATAAATAATGAACTAAATAACTAGTGTAATAATACATTATGGTCTACAAAGTGGTTATGTAAAGTCATATCATAGCTAGTGAAAAGAATCTAACAGCTTCTGAATTCTAGTTCTGACCCCTTTATGAATTACCAAACTCTGAGCTTCCATCTTTTCTTCCATAAAATTGAGAGCATCTCAATTTAGATAAGTAACTCTGTGTTAAAAGTAAAAATTATCATGTGCACATAAGAATTACATGCACATTTCAAAGTGTGCTGCATATTTATCATTGCCTTATTTATGGACCAGAAACTATAGAATTGTCATTTTAGCTGAACTAGGTGCAAATATCTCCTTTTAGTGTTTTTTTTAGCTCTATTCAGAGGGATGCATGTCTTCTGGTGGGACAACATAGACTTTAATTTTAGTCCTTAATACAGATTACTCTCCCAATGGGTGATAAGACATACCCCCTGCCAAATAGTTTACTGTGTCTTTGTTTTGTTTTGTCTTTTTTTTCTTACTGTTTTTTTTTTTTTAGGTTTTTGTCAAGCAGGGAAAGATTTGCGTTTGGTATCACTGTGCATGGAACAAATCGACATTCCAGCAGGATTCCTCCTGGTAGGGGCCAAGTCTCCCAATCTTCCTGAACACATTCTAGTTTGTGCTGTAGACAAGCGATTTCTACCAGATGATCATGGGAAAAATGCACTTTTAGGTGAGTAATTCATGCCTGTAAAATTCCTTCCAGGAGGAGGAAATTAAAATACAAGTTTATTTTAAAATTTCACAGAATTAAAAACATACATATTACAGGATTAGTTAGCACTTACATTGTTTAGTTCAAGTATGAAACTGTTTTTAGTAACTTTTAAAAATTAGTTAACATTTGTAAATTTTGAAGCCCTTAATTAAGAGATGTTTTGATCAAATGCTAAAATACAGTATATAGTTTGTCAAAAATTAATATTTTAGGTCTGGGAGTACAGCTCAGTGGAAAGTGCTTGCCTGTCATGCTTGGGCTTGATCCTTGACATTGCAAAAATATTAATATTTTATAAAATGAAGTGGAATTTACTCTGTATAGTCATCCATCTGAACCTGATGGCAACTCTGAACTATTTTTCTGTGGACTATCCACTTTTTAAGGCATTTGTAGTTTTTCCATACTCCCATTATTCCCACCCTACTTGATGGATGTGATTCTAATTTTATGTTTAACGTTAGTTCTCCTAAAATAACTAAGGGGACATAAATGATATAAAATGTATAACCTTATCTCACAATTTTTTTACTTTCTGGTATGACTTAGACTCCTGAATTTTTCATGGTACAGCTTCTCAACATTATAAGAATAACAAAAAGTTGATTTAAAAACTTATTTTTAATAATTGAAAAGACAAGATGACATATGAAGTTTATTGCCTTTTTGCTACTGTGTTTCTCTAGAGTTGTTTTTGTTTCTCATGATTTCTTTTATTTAAGTGGAATCAGATGTTTTAGGCACAAGTATCAATAGAAAGAATAGAGAAGGGGGCAAAGATTCAAGTATTGTATTGATTGTGTGGTGATGTGGTTTGTTTAGTTTGATCCATTCTTCCTATTATACTATGTCATCAGAATGTCTAGAAATATATCATCAATATATTGAGTTACAAAATGACTCTGTACATGTTTTATGAATGTTTCTTAAATTGCAGTTCAGAGGCATATCTTTAGTTCATAGAAAAAGAAGGGATAATTTTTCTTTTTCTTTTGGAGGAAGGATAGTAGGGATTTAACCCAGGTGTGCTTTACCATTGGGCTGCATCCCCAGCAGTTTTATATTTTTTATTTTGAGACAAGGTCTCATTAAGTTGCTTAGGGTCTCTCTAAGTTGCTAATTTTCCCAGGCTGGCCTATAACTTGAGATCCTCCTGCCTCAGCCTCCTGAGTCCCTGGGATTACAGTACCCAGCAGAAGTGATAATTTTTACTATTCTTAAGGCTCTTCAAAAAAGAATGTGGCCATTTTTTCTTAGTAGAATTTAGAAAATGCTTTAATATAAAAGTCTAATGGCAAAGCTTATACATTGCACTAACTTAACAAAGAAGGTTCAACAATGTGTTCATTCATTTGTCCAGCAGTATTTACTCAAAATGTACTGTATGACAGAAATCATGCGAGACTATGATGTAGAGGTGCAAAACTTATAAGGCACAGACCTTTCTCTCACAGAGCTTAAGGTTAGTTGGTGATAGAGAACAACTTTGAAAGACAACTTTAGCATTTTAAAACATTATATCTCATCTAATGGAACAGATCAGATGTGGATCTGACTACAAACATTGAAAAATCTCTCCAAACACCTTTTACTCAGTGATTCTCCATGGCTAGAAGAATCCTGTTGGAACACATTAAGGCAAAGTTAAGAAAACACCATCAGGATACTTCACAGTCCTGCATAATCAGAAATATGAGACAAAGTCTATGGGCTTTAGAATCAGAACTGAGTTTAAATCTGATTTGCCTCCTAGTACTTTAGGAAGTCTCAGATTTCTCATTCATGTAAAAGGGCCAATAATGCCTACCCTTGCAGTGTTGTAAAGATCAAATGAGATGATGTATAAGGCACCTATCCTGCACAGTACCCAGCATATATTATTTATTCTTCAAATAGTAGTTGTTCTGCTGTCATATTATTAAATATTTTTATAGACTTGGCACTTTCTTACTTTCTCTAACCTTATAAATGGATATAATTTTCCACCAGTCACTTTTCTGTGGGAAAATGTAGTGCAACAACAATACGGTAGAAGGTTTTTCTTAGATAAGCATATTGTTGAGATTTTTAAATATTCAGTACTCTGTTCTCCAAAAGTTAACATTCATTCAATATGATAGGTGATTTTAATATATGCTAAGATAGAGAGGGAAAATTTTTAAGATTTGGATATTCTAGAATCACTATCCAATATCAATTTGTCTGAATTTTTATATAAATTATGCAGATTCCACAGATTTGAGGGAGTTTATTTTTAAATATATTGATCTAGCTGGCAGTTCATATGTCCCAGGTGTATCATGTGATTAGAAGACTTGATTTCCAGAAAAGCTAGAAAGGTAATTTCAGCTGTTAGGTGTTTTCCCACCTCGTACTGGGGATTGAGCCCAGAGGGGCTTTTCCACTATACTTATATCCCCAACCCTTTTTATTTTGAGATAGGGTCTTGGTAAGTTGCTGAATCTGACCTCAAACTTGTTATCCTCCTGCCTCAGCGTCCCGAATTGCTGGCATTATAGGCATGTGCCACTGTGCCCGGCAGAGTTGTTGTTTTTTATTACAGATGATAGCAAGAACTTGGAGCAGTTTAAAATCTCTCTTAAACTAAAGCTAATGCTGAAACTACACAGAGTATCCAAAATGAACTGTAGTAGACATCTGACCCTCACGTTGCTAACTATCATCATTACTTGAAGGTTCTCTTTGCGGATTATCCAGACCCATGGCTTTCTTCCCTCTTCATGTTTTTGCATTTCACCTCAGAGAATATTCACAAAGGAATACTCAACCTCAGTAGCTTGTTGAATATAATTCTCACACTAATCATTTCTCAACTATCTGGACCTACCAGATAAGTCTCATTTTTTTTTTTTAGCACTGTCATTTTTCAACTAAAAGGTTCTGACAGCTTTTCTTACTGTGTTTGGGGTGTGGCACATCTGCCTTATGTGAGGTACCTTCCCATTAAGGCATCTGAGTGTAAGCTTCACAAAGACTGGAGCTTTGTTCAGTGGTAAAACCTGTACCTGAAACAGTGCCTAGCATGTTGTAGACTATAAGTAATTGTTGGGTGGGTGGATGGATGGATGGACGGATGGATGTGTGGATGACTTCAGAAAGGTGTTGAACTAAGCAGCCATTGATAACTTTTTTTTTTTTTGGCCTACAACTTTAACGTTCTGGGAAATGACCAAACACCCCCCGCCAAACAATCCAGTTCTGAATATATTTTAAGTAATTTATAAAACTGCATTAACGTTCATTATTCTATAAAGTGACAGTAATAAACTGTTAAGTCTATGTAATTGGGCCAGAGGTTATGATTCTTGTTCACTATTTTATATCTAGTGTTTAGAAAAATGCCTGGCATAGAGTTCAGTGCTCAGTAAACAGTTGTTGACTGAATAATAATAAATTGGACTGCCCATTTATAAATGCTTTGAATTGGTTGTCAGCATTCTAAGACAGTGACATTGTTAGATATTTTCTTTAACCCTTATGGCCTTTCTCTTCTCATCTTTGTTAATTATGTAACAGGTTGGTTTAAGGGTTCGAAAAGAGTGTCATTTCGCCAGCAAATTTATTGTCAGTTAGTTATTTGTATATAGACATATTGTCTTTGGACAATATGGAATGCCTTTTTTAAATTTTCACTTTTGTCCTGTTCATCTACCTGACAGCACATATGTTATGTCCTCATCAGACAACCAAAGGTAACCACTCTCTTACTTGCCTGCCTTCTCCTTTGTGTATAAAGAGGGACTCAAAAGTTGATTTTCAATGGATTTCCACTCTCCTGGCCTTCTCCATTTCTTCTTTCCACACCCCTTGCTCCAGCCAGATTAGTGAAAGTTTTATTTTGTTGCATTAGTTTGAGTGAGGAATTATTTGGATGTTATAACTAAAGGAATAATAAGCTAGTTGCAATAAAGAGAATTTTTTGAAAAATGGAAATGGAAATCTCATGGAGCTCATGCCAGAAAGTAAATGTAGATCTCATAGAAACTGAAACTGACAATGCTTGGAATTTTCACATTTCTTCCCATGTTCTGCTCTCCTCTCCACAGACCAGCTTCCTCGTCACAGTTCTTTGTTTTTATATATTTACTTTTTTAGTTGTAGTGGACACAATACCTTTATTTTATTTGTTTATTTTTATGTGGTGCTGAGGATCGAACCCAGGGCCTTGCACGTGCAAGGCGAGCGCCCTACCGCTGAGCCACAACCCCAGCCCCTTCTCAGTGCTTGTTGACTCCCACACATTAGCTTACATGCGGTTGACATAGCCCCAACTCAGAGTACAATTTTACAAAAATTTTAGAAAGAACTACGTGGGGGAAGAAACAATGGACTCTTTGGGATCAAAATTTACTTGTGATTATGTGTACTACATAAACTCCATCACCTGGTACTTATAATATTCATTCCATTTTCTTAACCATTATCCTTTTAGAGCAGCACTTGAATGATTTAGAGTTTTCCATTGTTATAAAATAACCATGTAGGGCTGGGGTTGTGGCTCGGTGGGAGAGCGCTCACCTACCATGCGTGAGGCACTGGGTTCGATCCTCAGCACCACATAAAAAAATAAAATAATGATCTTGTGTCCACCTATAACTAAAAAGTAAATATTAAATAAATAAATAAATAAATAATAATCATGCTAGAGGCTAAGGTTGTGGTTCAGTGGTAGAGCACTTGTCTCACATGTGTGAGGCGCTGGGTTCAATCCTTAGCACCACATAAAAATAAATAAATAAAATAAAGGTATTGTGTCCTTCTACAACTAAATAAATATTAAAAAATTAACTCTGCTAAAAAAATTTTGCACCTGTTTTTTTCCCTTTGAGTTTAAATTGAGACATTATTGAGTCAAAGAATGTGAATATTTCAGTGCTTTTTATACATAAAAGTATTGTATCACCTTATGAGGTCACTAATAACATTGGTTTTCCTTACTCAGGGTTCTCTGGAAACTGTATCGGCTGTGGAGAAAGAGGATTTCGGTATTTCACGGAATTTTCCAACCACATTAACTTGAAGCTTACCACCCAGCCAAAGAAGCAGAAGCACTTAAAGTACTACCTAGTCAGAACGTCCCAGGGTGTACTATCAAAGGGACCTCTTATCTGCTGGAAAGGTACTCAACTTTGAGAAGGGAAAAGGGAAGGAAAGGGAATCTTATGATGGTGACAAGTGACCCTTATGGGAGTCTCTGTCTTCTGAGAAGGGGGTGGCATTCTTAGGGAGGGGAATGGACACTCTCTTGCTCTTCTATAATTTAGAAAGGAGAACATCTGGACGTTTCAGGGGCTCTTTTTACTTTAAGTTCTTAGGTAGTTGTAAAGCACCTGAATTTTTCTATTTTAATTTGACCAAAGCATGCTTAGAATAAACAAAGTAGTCTTCATAATACCTGGGAAAATGCATTTACTTTAAAGTTGACAGAGTTTTGTTTCTTTTAAATTAGAAAGAACTTAACTACCTTATCTGTAGAAATAAATCCAGTTGAAACTTCACATCCTCATGTGTTCTATTATAGGAGTTGCCACAAGTTCTGCTCACTGTTCTAATGCAGTAGAGTATCTAATCCTTATTCTGTTCAGCAGTTTTTTAGATGCTAAGATTGTTTTTCCTCCGTAGAATAATTGTCTGTAATGTTTCTGTTTCTTGCCTATACAAGATTTTTGCCCAGCCATGAATAAATCCAAATTACAATAGAAGATTTGCCTCTTAGTCCTTCACCATAATTATTCTTTGTCACATCTGTAGTGCTGTTATATAATTCCTTAGGAATGGCTACCTGTTCTAAGGTGAATATCATCAGAATTTAAGGCTGGCAACTGCTCAATCATAAGCATGGTGAATGATAGATAATTCTTTATCCTAATAAAATCTAAATAATTTTCCTCTAAAAAAATTAATTTGAATGTCATGAAGCTTAATAAAGGAGTAAAAATAGGATAAGTGTCACCTATCTACCTTTTAACTTTATCCTTTAGTTTTTGTTTTGGTTGCATACGATATTTTTAATTTCTTATTTAGTGCTCAGTGACAATTTGCTTTTCTAGTTAAGAATGATATTTGTTTATAACAGTTGCTCTTTTGAACTCAAGTTGTATATGTATATATTCACAGATTAAAAAACATTATATATGTGCATATAAAATACACATAATGTGAAGATAAGGTTTTACGCCAAAATACAATTGCTCTTCCCATAAAGTCATAGCATAGATACTTGAGAAACTGCCTTCAATTTTTACATGTGTCTCATAAACTGGAAACCTCTAAAGGACCCTTTATAATTAACTTTGTCATACACAATCATTTATACTCCTATTTCGCATGCTACTTTCTAAGACTAATAGAGTATAGTGTGGTTAGAACTTACAGTTCAATAGGCTGTCATGGTATTTACCATCTCCCTGAATCAGTACAAAGTACTAAAATATCATACCAGAGTCCCAATAATATCAGAAAACACAAACTTTGGTATTGCATCATCTATAATCACTTTGAGTATCATCTACATATTTTCTTTAATAAGACTTGGAAATAACAGGAATTTGAGCATTTCTAATTTTTTTCTCTTCTACTATATAATTTCTCTTTGCTTCTATGTTTGGACATAAGTTAAGACTGAATATAGAAGGTTGAAGGGAGCCTAGACAAACTCTAGGTTACTGTTATAAACTTAAATAAATCCTGTTCAGGAGACTAACTGGTGTTTGTAAAGTTTGTTGTTGTTGTTGTTGTCTTTTTAAATTATCGATAATTTAGCCTCTGTCTTACCCAAAAAGCTAGCATCACTCTGTTGATTATGCGTATTTTTCCCTAGGAACTACTCTGCAGGGAACTGAGGTCTGATTGTTCTTTGCTTTTCAAGCTTGACATTTGGCCCTAGGAAGAATTGTGCTCACTTTTGTTGAACTCAGGATTAGGGGAATGGGATCTCTAATAAAGTGGCTACCACTTAAGAAGCAGCAATTTGTTTCAGAGATTTTATGAATCATGTCCCCATCACCTGTTTAAACAGAATATTGGTCTCTTGACATAATGTGATTTTTATTCCATTCCAGAATGTAGAAGCCGACAATCCTCTGCTATTTGCCACTCTATTAAACCAAACTCTTCAGTGTCATCAACTGTGACTCCAGAAAATGGAACAACCAATGGATACAAAACAGGATTCACTCAGACAGGTATGGGGTGTTTTCTGTTGTACTTCAAGTAGCAGATATATATTTAATGAAGCATCTTTGAATTTACAGCTGGCTGGTATGAACAGAAATATTTTTAAATAAAGGTATTACTTGAGTTTTATTAGGATTAGAACTCAGACTGGGCATGATGGTGCAGAGCTGTACTTCCAGATACTCTGGGGGCTGAGGCAGGAGGATCAGAAGTTCAAGGCTAGCCTGGGCAACTTAGTAAGACCCTGTCTCAAAATAAAATAAAAATATCTGGGGATATAGCTTGGTGGCAGAGTGCTTGCTTAGCATGTATGAAGCTCTGGGTATAATTTCCAGGACTACAACAAAAAAAAAAAATGAAGAAGAAGAAGGAAAGAAAGATAGAAAGAGGAATTAGAACTCAGCAATGAGATGGTCAGTCTGTGGATAACTCAAACTCAAGTCCCAGCTGCCCACCGTGTTAGACAAAGAAAGGAAAAAGAACTGACAGTTCGGAGAAAATTTAGCTGAAGCATATATATGATGTGATGAGGCGAGTCTGATACTAGGTAATAAGTGGAAATTGAGACATCACAGCTTTCAGGTAGTATGTACTGGGGACATATTCATGAAGACTGAAATTCCACAGTAGGATTCTATGTAAGCCCACAGAACATTATAGGAATTCGTGTATCAACTGGGATACAAAGTAAAGTCCTAAGGTAAGATTGCAGATCATAATGGATGAATCCAGGACCTAGTTTCTAGTAGTAGAGATAGGGGCAAGGTTACAAATAACCAGATAAAATCTTAGTACCTCAAACTAGGTTACAATATCAGGGCTGGATCAACAGAATGGCTGATCTGATGCTGAACAGATTAGCTACTAGTTCAAGGCATCTAAAAATTCTTCTAGTATAGACACTGGCCCAGGCCCTCAGGTCAAACAAAGATTCCAGTTGGGACTTCATGGCTCCAAGTGGCTGAAGGCTGTCGGGGCTGTAATTGAAAAGATCACTGCAGATAGTATTTGAGAAAATTACCCAGAGTCGGCACAGTTATTTCTTAGGCAAGAAGTAAAGTATTTAAAAGAGTTTGTGAATTATGTTTTCATTTCACTTGCTTTTTGTGAAGTACCATTTTACCCATCTTATATGCAAACTTCATAGGATATGTACTTAGCTAGTGTCCACTCAACCGTAACAAGTAAAAAGAAGGCTCTCTTCATTCACTAGTTAGCTTGCCTCTTTCAAATTTAGGTGTGTTTCTGATGAGCTGGAAAATTGTTTCTGTTTTTTTCAGGATGGAAGTGATTATTAGCATATGTTAATAACAACATAAAGATAATAAGACTAACTTTACTTGGGGTACTTCTTACTGTGGTGGACAATGCAGCATATGGTGAACTAAGTCTACCTCATCCTGAATTAAAAAGTCCAACCTTTAAACTGTCCAGGATAGTTTTTAGTTGGTATTTGGTTCTTGGCATTGAAAGACTAGCCTTCATTATATTAATGACATGCCTACATGTCTCTTCTTCAATATTATTTTAGTAATTTGGTGGATTCCATGGTGTGTTATCTGCCAATAGACCTTAAAGCTAATCAAATGTAATTTTAAAACTATAATGTTAAAAATTCGTATTTACTTCATTCCAGCAAAAACATACCAAATACTCATTATAATTTAAGAATCTTATCAGATGCTATATGACAAGGTTCCAGTACTTAACTAATGACTCCAGTGATCTAAAAACCACTCATAGAGGGATCAAAGAAAAACAGAACATGTTACCTTTCCTAAGAGGATGTATAAATAACAAGTTGTACATAAAAACAATGAAAAGAAGTCAAAACATCAGTAAGCAGTAATATAATTTTAAGTATATTAGGAAATATTTTTCAAAAATGAATTTTGTTTTGAAAGATGAAATCAGGCTTTTGAAAGATTCAGGCTTTAACAAAGAAATCTTAAGGACTTAGGCAAGAGAGGGAGAGGCTACTGACTGACACACAGTGAACACAAGTCGCCAAGTGTTAGCCCAGTGTCCCTTGTGGGGATGTAAGAAGTAACTTGACCATGAAATTAATTATTAACAATTTTAGGTGCAACACATAGAGTTTACTGGAATAATTGCTTTTTTTGATGAATTTATGTTTATAGATGCTGTAGTAATTTCTTCTGACATGTATTGAATGTAATAGGATATAAGAATTTCATGTCAAATTTATGATAGCATTGCAAACATTAGGGTGTAAGGCATCTTCCTAACTGATTTAAGATTCACTTTTCTATCAGAGATAGTTTCTCCTTAATCTTAATCTGCAATTGGTGACTTCCTGTAATCAGTGTCTCCTACCCTGAAATGTATACACTGTGTAATATTTAAAGGAGTTAATTTAAGACTTACACAGCTTTGATTTGAGTTTCACTTGCCACACTACGGATATTTATTCTGGCTGGCTTGCCACTTATTCCTTGCATATTTTTTCCACATTTTTATGTTATTAATATTTAAATTTTCATTACCAATTCCAGTGAAATATTTTACCATATTTACCAAAGGTGAATATGTCTTTACCTATATTATATATACATATCTCTCACACACACACACACACACACACACACGTTTAAACAGGACAAGAATTCAAGAATAGATGAAAAAGAAATTTTTTAAACTGAAGATCTTGAAATTTTCCATATTTTCTTTTAAAGACTTTATTATTGTCATTCTTACAGTTTATGTCTATGAGCCATTTAGAACTAATTTTTGTTTTATGGAGTGAAGTGAGAGTCTTAAGTTTGTCCTTTTGTATGTGGTTATCTATTGTCCTAGACCATTTATTGTACAGACTATTTTCTTCTCAGTGAATTTTACTTTAAAGTAACCAATTAGGTTTGGGATTGTGGCTAAAAGCAGTAGAGCACTTGCCTAGCATGAGCGAGGCACTGGGTTTGATCCTCAGCACCACATAAAAATAAATAAATAAAATAAAGGTATTGTGACCATCTACAACTAAAAAAAATCTTTTTTAAAAAACCCAATCGACTGTAAGGATTTATTTATGGAAAAAATGATGGAATGAATCTCATCAAAATTCAAAACTTTTCACAAAACACACTAAGAAAATGAAAATACAAACAACAACAAAAAAACCCAGCAAAACACAATCTATGGAACAAGATAGGAATGCCCTCTTTCACCACTTCTATTTTACATAGTTCTTGAAACTCTAGCCAGAGCAATTAGACAGATGAAAGAAATTAAAGAGATATAGATAGGAAAAGAAGAACTCAAACTATCACTCTTTGCTGATGACATGATTCAATACTTAGAGGATCCAAAAAATTCCACCAGAAAACTTCTAGAACTAATAAATGAATTCAGCAAAGTAGCAGGATATAAAATCAACACCCATAAATCAAAGGCATTTCTGTATGCCAGTGACAAATCCTCTGGAAAACTACCCCATTTACAACAGCCTCAAAAAAAAAAAAAAAAAAACAAAAACTTGGAAATCAACTTAGTTTCTACAATGAAAACTACAGAATGCTAAAGAAAGAAATTAAAGAATACCTTAGAAGATGGAAAGATCTCCCTTGTTCTTGGAGAGGCAGAAGTAATATTGTCAAAATGATCATACTACCAAAAGCAATATACAGATTTAATGCAATCCCAATCAAAATCCCAATGACTTTCCTCATAGAAATAGAAAAAACAATTATGAAATTCTTCTGTAAAAATAAGAGACCCAGAAGAGGCAAAGCAATCCTTAGCAAGAAGAGTGAAGCAGGTAGCATCACTATACCAGACCTTAAACTATACTACAGAGCAACAGTAACAAAAACAGCATGGTATTGGCACCAAAATAGACTTGTAGACCAGTGGTGCAGAATAGAGGACACAGAGACAAACCCGCATAAATACAGTTTTATCATACTACACAAAGGTGCCAAAAACATATATTGGAGAAAAGATGCCTCCTCAACAAATGGTGCTGGGAAAACTGGAAATCCATATGCAGCAAAATGGAATTAAGCCCCTGTCTCACACCATGCAAGGACCTAGGAATTAAACCAGAGACCCTGTGCCTAACAGAAGAAAAAGTAGGCCCAAATTTTCATCATGTCGGATTAGACCCTGACTTCCGTAATAAGACTCTTACAGCGCAAGAAATAAAACCAGGAATCAATAAATGGGATGGATTCAAACTAAAAACCTTTTTCTCAGCAAAAGAAACAATCAGTGAGGTGAATAGAGAGCCTGCATTTTGGGAGCAGATTTTTACTATACACACATCAGATAGAGCACTAATCTCTAAGATATATAAAGAACTCAAAAAATTTAACACCAAAAAACAAAAACAAATAAACCAAGCAGTAAATGGGACAAGGATCTGAACAGACACTTCTCAGATGATGATATACAATCAACAAATATATGAAAAAATGTTCAACATTTCTAGCAGTTAAAGAAATAAAAATCAAAACTAAGATTTCTTCTCCCTCCAGTCAGAATGGCAGCTATTATGCATACAAACAACAATAAGTGTTGGGTAAAAAGACACACTCATGAGTCCCGGTGGAGTTGCCAAAAAAAAAAAAAGACACACTCATACATTGGTGGTGAGATTGCAAATTGGCGCAACCAATATGGAAAGCGGTATGGAGATTCCTTGGAACACTTGGAATGGAACCACCATTTGACCTAGCTCTTCCACTCCTTGGTTTATACCCAAAGGACTTAAAAAAACAGCATACTACAGTGACACAGCCACATCAATATTTATAGCAGCACAATTCACAACAACTAAACTGTGGAATCAACTTAGATGCCTTTAGTAGATGAATGGATAAAGAAACTGTGGTATATATATACACACAATGGAATACTACTCAGCATGAAAAGAGAATAAAATCATGGCATTTGCAGGTAAATGGATAGAGTTGGAGAATATTATGCTAAATGAAATAAGCCAATCCCCCCAAAACAATATTTTCTCTGATATGTGGATGCTCATCCATAA